AACTCAGCCGGATGTAGCAGTTTTTTTAATAAAGATATTGTAATATTTATTAATATTTATATACATACGTATATGGGTTATGGACTAGCAAAAAGGGGTTCTCAACTATATTTTCTATTTTGAGAAAAATAATGATAAACATTTGTGTAACTTAAAATTTTGTTGATTTTTTCTGTGCTATTTTTAGATATACCGGTAATTAACCTGTAATTTAATAAATTATGATTTTACATATTTATTATTACTGTATTATTTTAATTTATAGTAAATATAATAACAATGTCATTATTGGAGAATAAAGAAAATATTGATTTTTCAACAGAAAGTAATTTTTTAGAACAATTAGACTTGGAAGATTATGAAAATAATGAGTTAGTACAGCAAACTGCAAAAGATTTGTGAAATTTTTTTCAATCCAAAAACTGTACTTGCAATTTTAAAAAAAATGAACAATGTTTTGAAAAAGTTGGATTTAGATGATTTTTTGAAAACATTTGCAATTTCAAAGTTTAGATAAAAAAGAATTAGAATTAGTTTTAATGGGACAACTTATGGCATTTAAATATGATCAGTTAAATGAAGATAATAATTCTAAACAACGATTTAAATATCAATTTAATGCTAGTATTAGACTTTGTAAGAGCACTTATCTTAAATTAATTGGAATTGGAGATAAACAACTTGAGCGAATATAGAATATCTAAAAAATAATGGAATAGTTAAACGAATATATGGCAATACAAAATGAATGCCTATATTAAAAAATCATATAAAAATAGATAAAACAGTATCATTATTAATTTATAAATTTATTATTAATTATGCTAATATTTATGGATTTCCATCACTGAGTCGACATTTACAGCATGATACACAGTCAATTATTTATCTACTAACTGAAAAAAACTATACTCAAGTGTATAATTTTTTTATTGCAGTCAGGAATTTTACCAAATAAGAAAATCGCATTCTAAAATGATCTACAAGGGCATTCTTGGATATAATTGGCTCTCACATGGTTTTTCTCCCACAAACGTTGTACATTTTGAAAATTTTTTTTTCAATAGTTAGTAAAACCAAAAAGGCTTTGAATACGTAGTTCGAGACGTCTAGTTTTAATCATCTCAAAAAATTCTTTATGGTAACCTTTCTTGGTTAAAGTAAATGAGACGTTAAAGTTAGGTATTTACTTCATATAGAAAGTTAAAAATCATCATCAGTTAAGACGATCTTAAAAGTTTATCTTTATATTTAAATGAAGATTTAAAGTGCTATTTATATTTAACTTTCATAGTTTAATTTAGTTGCAACTTTATAGGTACCAATATAACTCATAAAAGAATATACTCAAGGCATTCAAGAAAGATTTAAATTACAAAACAAAATATCTAATACAGGTTATGTTTTTAAACAATACTGTGTATACAGATAATATTGTTTAATAGTATAAATCGAATATTATAATATGTAATTAGTAAAGGAGATATTAATTAACTAGAATAAATTGTTATTTAAAATATTTATTAATAAGAGGTGAAGCTTTGTTAATAGCTTCGTTGATAATAAAACATATTTACTCGTATATAGTTTTTAATTAATTTGATTGGTTGATGTTTATGTGCTATGAAATCTAGAACCTTCTGATCGACATCCTTATACTATAAAAGGTACAATCTTCAATATCTATTTTTGGTAAAATTCCTGACTGTATTGAATGCATTAATGCTTTTCCAGAAAAACTATTTAATACAATTAGCTATAAAAGTTTTATGTCTTTGGAAAGAATTAACTCCACATATCAAATTTATGACACCTGGCACTGATTTATGCGAAATTTGTGAACTTTTAAAAGCTCAAATACGAAGTACAAATAATGATAATGAAAAAGAATTAATTTAAAAAGAGTTAAATGAACATAAAGAAAATGTTGAACTCGAAAGAAAATACTATCATAATAATATTATGATGAGTAAAACATTACCTAATATAATGCATATATGTTATGATTGGTCATAAAATGTTCCTATACCTTATTCTTTACAGCAAATTGGTGCAACATATTTTAAATCAGCATTTCAAACACATATTTTTGGTATTTGTAATACAGAACAAGATCCAGCTTATTAATTAAATTATATTATTGCAGAGCATGAATTTTCTCAAGGAGTAAGCAAGGGTGCAAATACTACAATAAATCTTATATATAATAGATTGCAAAAATTTTATAAACAGAAAAAACATTTAAAAGTAACTTGTGATAATTGCTCTGCACAAAATAAAAATAATCTTTCATTATTTTTTTGGTGCTGGCTTACATTAATCAGAATGTATGATACCATTGAAATAAATTTTATGATACCTGGATATACAAAATTTATATATGATGGATATTTTGGAAACATTAAAACACTTTATCGAAAAACTATTATCAATACTGTGGATGATGTTCAAAAAGTTATTAACAAATCTACAAAACATGATGCTAATAATAGTGTATGTTATAATAACGGTAATGGATGGACATATTATGACTTTTTAAATTTTTTAAAACCTCATTTTAAAGAAATTTCTGGTATTTTAAAGTATATACATTTTTTATTTACTTTCAAAGATTTAGAAAAAGTTTTTTGTCAAACTAAAGCAAACAGTACTTATGATATATTTACTATTCTAAAACATGAATTTAATAATAATAATATTCTAAATAAGATTTCTTTAAAACCTTTATCAAAGGATCATCAAGAATATCTTTATTATAAGATAAGAAAATATATAAATACAGAATTCCAAGATATTACTTGTCCAAAACCAGTATGGATTAATTAAAACTTTAATGTTTTCATTTTTGGTTTTGACTTAAATAAATTTACAAGCATAAAACGTATCATATCGAACAATTCAAATAATTGAATCACATACTTTTAACATAATTTAAACCAAGAATATAGGTAATATCATTAAATTAGAGATGTTTAGAAAACCCATATATAAACA